TCTCTCTCTCTCTCTCTCTCTCTCTCTCTCTCTCAATTCTGAGGAGAGACAAGTGCACAATGATGGCTCCTTACCTCGCAGTGATGAGTGGGAGCTCCAGGCCACAACCTGCCACCCAGGAGGTTACATTGTAGACTGCAGGGGATCCCACTACAGAGAGCAATTCCACCAGGTTCCCACCTGGGCGAGCTGTTCCAGAATCCATCTGAGAAACTAGAGACCAATGATCCAATTATTATTACGTAACTCAAGATGGAAGACCTGCTGTGTGGAAAGGCCCAGATAGAGATGCTGGGTTACTGAGATCTCAGCACACACTTAAAGCTGAGATCCCTACCATCTGCTGCCATGAAGAGCAAAGGTAGAGGGGGCAACAGTTTAGGACCAATAGGAAAATGCAAGGTCAAGGTATAAGGACACAACATCTAATTCCACAGCAAAGTTCAATAAGCCTGAAGCCAGACAAATATCACTCCCTATGCCATAGAGGGAGGACCCCCTACACTGATAATCTGTTAGTGTGGATGGCCACCCTTTCCCCCATTTTCCCCTGGCAACTCCAGTACAACTGATCCTCCTTAGAAAAAACACTGAACACACGACGCACCTGCTGGGGATACTTACTGTGTATCCATAGCGTGGAGTTAACACATGTGCAAAAAAAGTGCCACTTTTAAGACAGACCTCTCTTCAAATCTTGGTTTTCCACTTCATTGGACTACCATTTGATTAATCAACACAACCCCTCTAAGACATTTTCTCGTGTGTAAAATGGAAATCATGATATATACTAATCTGCATAGCACAAAGAGTTTAGTGCGATGGCAGATTTAAGTGACCAGCACAATATATATTTTAATATCCCCTTCCCTTCCTACTAGGTGCCGTGTAAAAGATAGCTTCTTCCCCAAGAGCATACAATCAAGAGCGTAAATAGCTTAAAGGCAGCATCTTTGCATGTCCGATGCTTACTTAGCACAACACCAGGCACAGTGTAGGTGCTCAATAAATGTTTATTCACTCATCTGGCCATGGAGTCACTGAGGGTTTGGCTCTGGTGTCAACTATCTCTAGGTTCAATCACCCACACACACACACCCCAGCTGTGGGATTTGGGGCAAGATACTCAGCCCCTCTTCACTTTGGTTTCCTCATCTGTAGTGTGGGGATCATAGGACCATCTCATGGGGTTCAGAGAAGTAAAGGAGAAATAAATGCTAGCTACCACTAGAACTTGCATAAAGGACATTAGGTGGGAGAATATAATCAAGGGTTAAATTGATCAGATAAATGTCAGACAATTAACTATGAATACGGAGCCTCATTGTGTAGGGTTTAGGTGGCCGTTATATAATCTGCAAAGCAAAGTTGTTGCCAGCAGGGTAACTAGACAAAGCAGATAACATGGTTTTCCCCAAGCTACCTTCAGTCTTCTGTCTTGTCCCTGCCCTCTCCCTGTCTGCTTCCCTCCTCACATCAGCCCTAGATGGTTCTAAATACCGGAGCATTTGGTGGCAAAGAAGTGGGGGCAGTGAGCAAGAGCTCTGGATCCTTGGCTTTGAGGGTTTGGAAGTATAACATGGCACTTAAGAGAGAAAAGTGAGAAGGTAAAAGGTACCTACTATCTAGTCCTGAGTTTCCCAATCAGGGGGTTCAACTATATAAAATATTGATACCCTCAGCCCTCCGGAAATCTAGGTAGCATTTTGGGGATCACCAAAGGGCCCAGCCTGGGGTCAGGCAACAAAGAATTCAGGCAGTTACCCAGGACACCATTTGAATATTATTTTCTAAATGTGCCAGAACATGAACAGGGTTTAAAATAAGCAGTGACTTCGTCTGACCCACACGCTCCCCAAACCCTAAACCACTGAAACGGATAAGAAACAAAATTTTGTTGAGTTCAAAGATGATGTGATTTCAGGGCTGAAAGAGAACCCTCTTGCCACCCACCCCCAAGCTCCCTTGCTCTCAGCTCTGCCATTTTTCAGGCAAAAGACTAAAAAGTTGCATTTTGAGAATCAAAATGTAAATGACTGTTTCTTCCTTTTCTCCTGATGTGGGGGGAGGGACTACTTAAAGCAGTAAAGCTGAGCCCATAGCCACAACAATTTGATGGAAAAGGGAAAGAGAACAGCAGTTGGGAGCCTGGAGGCCCTGGCAGCAGAGGGTACCACCTGTCTTGGCCATGAGCTTCCCTTCCCCTGGGTGTCCATCATCCATGGCCAGCCTCAGAAGGACTTCTGATGAGCAGTTTGTCCCTAAAACCTGTGGACAAGCAAAGCCTAGTGAGATTGCTGTGCCTAAGTAGGGTCAAGGGACTTGGTAGAGAAAGGGGCCAGGCCTGAGCTCTAAGTGACGAATGGGAGGAATCTGGATGGCCAGGAAGAAGGACGGGGCTATTTTCATGAGGATACGCTTACCCTCCAACTCTCACTGAGTCTGTCTCCTATGGGTCGTAAATCAGACCTTTAGCCCATTTACATGGCCAGATATTGCCGAGTTCTTCCATCGCTTTGTATGACAGATATTAACTGATGGAGAGGTGGAGAAGTCTTGCTGCCCTAACTATAATAATAATGTTAATAGTAATAATAATTGCTTATATTTATTGAGCACCTACTATGGTCAGGAGCTGTAATGAGCACTTTATATTATATTTCAGTTAATCTCTGCAGTAATCCAATGAGATAGGGACCTCAATATGCCCGATGTATAGATGAGGAAACCAAGGCTTCTCAGGGAGGGAGTAGTAAAATCAGGGTAAGAGCACAGGTAACAGAAGCAAGAGCAAGCATTGCAGTGAATAGGGGGGGAAAAGGAGAACTAGCTAGAGAGATATAGAGGCCAAGGGCACACAATCCCAACCCCATCTTCTTTCTAGAACCAAGGCAGGCAAGATGGAGAATCACCTCTTCCCTCTCCAATTAAAACACAGCAGCCCCTAGCAGAAAAGTTGAAGGTCAGTATTTGATGGACAGATCCATGGAGGACAGTGGATTCAATGATCACCTGTTAGGTTTGTGTCTGCAATAATAATTTCATCCACATAGAACACGCCCGTTTCCTGAGCCAGTGGGAGGAGGTCAATCCGATGAACCAGCACTGGGGAGTTTGCTAGAGGCATCTGGAGATACGCAGAACGATGCACACACGTCTTCCAGAGGTCAGTGCAAGTGAACTGCCAGCTGAAAAACAAGCACACAGGGAAAATGGGCCTGTCCCTGTGCATCTGCAGTCCTCTCCCATTGGAGGCCTAATTCTCAAATCTGGGGGCCTGAGCACTGTGTGGTCAGAACAAAGACTCCATGAACCCCTGCACCCAAATAGTCCTGTGTGCCCTGGGTACAAACATCTAAGACAGGCTCAGTTGAGCTTGTGATATCACAGTAGGGAATTATTCATTCTTGACAGTCAACATCAGGGGCATTTTTTAATTACAATATAATTGTGTGTCTTAAGCAGATCATATGTTGGGCTTTAATGACAGAGAAGATTAATACTCTTGGATATTACTGGACTCATTTAGGTTTGAAACCATTTACAAAACCCAGAAGAGATATGTGGAAAGAGCACTGAATCAAGGGATGGAGATGTTTGAATTGTATTCCAGAGTCTTTGTTCGCTTGCTGAATGAATACTTCAAATTCTCTTGGCTCTCATTTTTCTCATCTGTAACGCCAGGGATGTTCTCTCAAGTCTCTTCCAAATATCAGGTTCCTTGACTCTATCCTGGTGAGAAACGCCAGATTCCTTCTGGGAAGTATTACATTCCTACCAACTAACTAGTCTTAAATCAAACTTCTCTGGGCACCAATTTTTCTCATCTGTGTTCAGAGCCCCAAGTTAGTATTGGAGGCCCAAATATAAGAGACAGTACCTCAGGTGGGCCACTGTCCCCATGAGAGCTAATCATCCCAGCTGGCAGAATGACCACCAAACTTCCCCATAGATTCGCTACCTTTCGGGGCTGGTCCCCATGAGGCTCCAGTTACAGGTGATGTTCTTCTTAACGATGTTTTGAAGATCCATTGTGAAGGACATGGTCACCTTCAGGGTCTTTCTCATGTAGCCTTTGTATGCAATGCACAGCTGTGGACACCAAATAAGTGCTTCAGCTCTATTAGTGCAAGAAGCAGCCATTCTTCAAGCAACATGTAGTGAGGAGATGCCACCTCCCTAGGGCCCTGCCTCATGCTGTGAGAGTCAGCCTATTCCCATTCCCCTGGAGCTTCCCAGTCTATCTAGAGAGATAAATCATTTAGAGTGAATTGTTATTTGTCCAAAAGAGAGTTATGAAATGCCTTGCACTGTGCTTGGTAATGACGATTTTAGAGTATCTCAATTAGAAAACCCCTGTTCTGACCCAGTTACCTGTGTAACCTTGAGCAAATCACTGAACTTCTCTGAGACTCAGTTGCTTAACACTAAGTCCCCAGCATCTCTGGTTACTAACTCTGAGTTAAGTAAAACTTTTTGGCTCAAGAAGACTCTAGAGCAGGATTTTTTTTTTCTTCAGCACTATTGACATTCTGGATTAAATTATTTTATCCTGTGTGGAGGCTATTCTGAACATTGTAGGGCGTTTAGCAACATCCTGGAACCTACTCAGTGGAGGCCAGTAGCACTTCCTCAGTTGTGACAATAAAAAATGTCTCCATAAATTGCCAGCTTTCCCTTAGGAGGCCAAATTATCCTCATTGGGAGCCTCTGCTGTAGAGGAAAATCTGGGAGACAGATGGTACCCTGACCTAAACCATTTAGTCCTGGCTCCCACTGCTGTTTGACTAGGAAAGGACTTGAAACCACTGCTATAAGCTCAGTCACCCCAGCAAGGCTCACTCTGGTTCAAAGGGCAAATGAGCTGCACTCTTTTATAAGGGATGACACAGCTACTGACACAATGGATATAAGAGAGAATCGAGTCAATCCATTAATAATAATAATAACTATAATAAATAACAACAACTAGCCCTAACTGAGTCCTAACCACTGCACAAGCACGTCACTAATCTCATTTAGTCTTCACCAAAATCCTGAGAGGTAGCCAACATTATTACTCATTTTCAGAGGAATAAACTTAAGACACTGAGGGCATACAGGGTATAGAGTCAGAATTCAAAACCAGATCGCCTGAATAAAGTCTGCTCTCATACATAGAGAGCAAAGCAAATACTAGAGCATGTAAAAACTTCCATAGGTCTCACAGCCAATACAAAGGCATTTTCATGTAACAAGTAGCTAATGGAGGAGTGAAGGTGTCTGTTCACACTGGAAACAGCCCTTCAGAAACCTAGAATCTCAGCCAGAATGCCTTGGGCACATCACAACCATCACTCTTTTGTGCTTCCATTTCTTCAGTCTCAACTCCAGAGTAACACTCGTCCCTTACTCTCCCCACCTCGCCCGGAAGTACGGTGGCTGCTACTTACGTGTGTATACTGATCCAGCCGGTAATCCTTCTGGGCAGCTGGGGGTGTTATGACAAGATGTCGAGGCTGATAGAGGCTGAACCTCCCACAAAAGGGCTCTGTCCGACTGGTGAGAGTACCATCAAAGCTGGAACCTTCTAGGCCTGGAGGCAGTTCAGATAAAATAGGAAAACAGGTGCAGATGTTAAATAGACAGAGCTTCCCAACATGTGTGCAAGGAATGGATTATGGATTCACTGTGCTATTGGTCCCCCAGCCCTCGGGTGAGCTGCATGGGGCTTGGATGCCCGGCAGCCCCCAGTTTGAAGGCCCGGCTATGAAAAATATATTCCATTCACCTTAGAGCATTGAAAATAGACAGTAGGCCCCCTTACCATGATTTAACTTTCCACAGTTTTAGTTACCAGTGGTCAACCATGGTATGAAAATATTAAATGGAAAATTCCAGAAATAAATAATTCATAATTTTTAAATTGTGCACCGTTCTGAGTAGCATGATGAAATCTCACACTGTCCCTCACAAGAGGTGGATCATCTCTTTGTCCCCCTTGTACATGCTGTAGACACTCCCTGCCCATTAGTCACGTGTTAGATGTCTGGTTATCAGATTGACTGTAGCAGTACCACAGTGCTTGTGGTCAAGTCACCTTTAGTTTACTTAACAATGACCCCAAAGCTCAAGAGGAGTGATGCTGGCAATTCAGGTTGCCAAAGAGAAGCTGTAAAGTGCTTAAGTATCAATACAGTCAATAGAAGCCTAATGTTATGTCACAAGCCATACATCACTCACCTCAATTCTCATCACGTTGGCATTTTATCACCTTGCATCATCATGAAAAGAAGGGTGAGTAGCGTACAAGATATTTAGAGAGAGAGCATAATATACTTTTTATTATAGTATATTGTTATAATTGTCCTATTTTATTATTGTTGTTAATCTCTTCCTGTGCTTAATTTATAAATTAAATTTTATCATTGGTGTGTATATATAGGAAAAAACAAAGTATGTATAGGGTTCAGTGCTATCTGAGGTTTCACGCATTCAGTAGAGGTTTTGGAATGTATCCCGCTCAGATAAGGGGGGATACTTACTATATTACTATTTTCTATGTGTACCATGACACAAAAAGACAAGGAGTATCAACGGTAACTTAGTTCACCTAAATATTTTTTTTTAAGAACGTGCCCTCACATTTTTACAATTTAAGACTACTGCTTTATGTAATAATTCCTTTATTCAAGATGCCATTTGAATTAAACAAGATTTGTGCTGCTTTGCTTTGTTCCCCACCGATATCTTTTGCCCTTTTCCCATTGTGTGGCTTAACTCTAACTCCCCCAGCATCCTGGGTGTCTAACTTTGCTCCACCTGAGAGCTCTGGAGGGATGCCTTTTATTTCTGTAATACCCACACCAAGCAGCACCTTCCCAAGCACGTAGCCACTCCCTGGGCCACTCAGGTCCAAATCCAGTTTCCATATGTTTGTTTGACTCTGTTAGCACGTTGAAGAGGAAATGAAAATTGTTCCCATTTTATAGATGAGAGAGAGAGAGAGAGAGAGAGAGAGAGAGAGAGAGAAGGCAATGGTGGAGAAAAGGGCCAGAATTTGTCAAACCAAGGACAGCACCTTGTTCGAATCCAAGCCGGAGTAGGATGTTAGCTGAAAAGGGTTTGAGTTGGCATTTGACTGCAAGTAATTCCTCAAGGGCTGTTTGAATCTGTTAAAAAAAAAAAAGAACTCCTAGGAGTTTGTACAGTGGGGATAAAGACTACCCCTAGTTCCCCCACTTCTCATTATCTCAAGGAGGTCCCACCTGATGGTCTGTGGCATTTGCAGGGATTGGCTGGCTTGAGACATTATCCCAAGTGAGGAAGAAGTTCCCTCTTCCAGACACAGTCAGCATCTAAAACAACAAGAATGATGGGCCTAAATGATGTGTGCTAATTAAGCCAGAGAGACAGCTTAGGAACACAGGACATACTTTCTTGGCTTACTATTTTCTTTCTATTGTAATTTCAATTTTTTTAAGCTCACTACCATCTAGAAACATCTGGAGAACACTAGTGGCATCACCTCATGAAAAATTTTCTTAGGATAATAGACATATCTGTCTCCGTTTATCCATGCCCCGCCCCTTTTCTTTAGAGTGTGAGACTGCAATGTGGTCACTCAATGGCCCACATTCAGTCCTTCTCACCAGGTACTCTTGTTCAGGGGTGGCCTGCTAGGCAGTGGCAGCCACATAGCATGATGCCACACTCTCAGAGTCTTATTCAATCTCTGCTTTACTCCCAGTATATTCCCTGCAGGGCCCATTATACTTTTGTTATGGAGAAAGACCTATCATCTTAAATTACTTGTTATTTTTAATCTCTTACCTCATTTGTTATTTTTTACTTTGTTCTATGGTCATTTGTGTACAAGTTTTTCTGTTTGACTGTAAACTTTAAAAGGCAGAGTCCATAATGACTCACCCTTGTACACCAAAAAGTGACCAAAAAAGTACATCAAAACTGTCCAACAAAAAATATGGGGCACAACTGAGAGACCCAGAGGCCTTGACTTTTACACAGTAGACTTAGAAAATACAGCCTGTGGGGAACTCGGACCTGAATTAGTCAAAAAGCTATGGAATTTAGTGTGTACACGCTCAAGCATGCACATGTGGGTATGGGTGTTCGGAGGACCTTGTCTCTTCTCTGGGGAGTAAGCTTCCAAAAGAATATTTACTTGGAGCTTAAATTCCTGAAACTAAGTACATGAGTAAGATCATCTCAACAAAAAGACTTCGCACTTTTATTAAAACATTCTCACGGCCCTGTTGGATAGCAGCCTATTTCTTGGCAGCAGAGTTATAACTGCAGCTCAAATCTTCTGGCTTCCACCCAGTGATGCTCCCACTAGGCAAGACTATATTCCTTCCAGAGTTCAGCCTCTGAACCTAACCCCATGGGACTGGGAAGAGATGCAGACCTGGATATCCGGAAGTCTCTGAGCACTGATTCGGATCTGCTGCTTCTCCCGGAGGTAAGTGCTGACCACAGTGGGATTCAGCCAGGTATTGTGGATCTGGACGCCGATTCTCATCCCCCTGCTAGGGGCTCTCCCATGGTGCTCTGCTTCCAGGTAGTACTTGGCTCCACCGAACAGCTCCAACTTGGGGCTCTTCTGTTGCCAGGTCCCTTCATTCCCATTCTGCTCCCAGGAGTCAAACCAGCCAGCGGTGCCCACCCTGATGGAGGCCACCTTTACCTGCACCCCAATAAATATCATGATCAACACTCTGAAACTTTTGGGCCTCTTTCTCAGACAGCAAGTGTCTAGACAGCTATTAACAAGGGACTTGGGAACTGATCTGTCTTTTCCAACAAGTTAACCCAGTCATACTAGGACCTATGGTTGTTTATGCCTCTCCAACCCTCAGTCTCTCTTTCTCTTTTTCTCAATTGAATAGTATTCATGTGAGGTTGGATGGGCTGTGTTCGGAGCAGGAAGAGCCAACCCGAAACCCTTGGTTGACATGATGCTGTGGATAAAGTAATAGTAAGCCCTTCAAGAAGTCTACAATGACTTGATCACATAAAAATCTATGACATTCCTCTAGCCGACTACCAAAACAATTTCATTGAAGAAGCAAATTAATAATTTGAGAAAAAATACTGTGGTTCTTTGTCAATGACACGAGTAAAATTTAACTGTTAAAAGCACCTTTTCTTATCCTTCAAAACTGATCAGGAAATTTCTACATAAGACTGACTACATCCCTACCCAAAATTAATGGAAAAAGCACAAGTTTTAGAGTAAGGCATATCTGAGTTTGAATCCTAAATATATCTCTTATTATCCAACTGTCCCTGGATAAGTCATACAATCCTTCTAAACGTCAATTTCCTTATTTGGAAAATGGAGATAAACATACATAGCTCACAGAGATACTGTGAGGATTATAGAGACAAAGTATATAAAAAATGTAGCATAATTCATGGCTTACAGCAAGTGCTCAATAAACAGTAGGTACCAACACATTCAGCAAAATTCTTTTCTTTTCTTTTTTTTTAAGATTTTTATTGGGGAATTGGGGGAGGGGAACAACGCTGGGGAATCAGGGAAGGGGAACAGACAAGTTGCTTTTGTTTTGTTCTTCAGTCTAGATGTGGAGGATGTTGCTTCACTGACCCAAATTGGCACCATCATTGTGCTCTTCCCGGGCGAGGCAGATCAGTTGCCGGCTTCTGGATGGCTGCTCATGGCTACACATGGTAGCCCATGGCAACCCACTGCAGCAGTGGCTACAGCCTACGCCGTCGCCGGCGACTCACAGCAGCCCAGCTCCAGGTTGAGCTGCCGTTCACCATCTTAGCTGTTGAGGGCAGTGTCACTGGCCCTCATATATGGGATCTGAACCGGGGCCCTCTGGCATCCCAAGCCAGCTCTTAACCAAAGCACCACTTGTCCAGCCCGGCAAAATTCGTTTTCAACAATTAAAAGCATGTCAATTATATCTCAATTTTTTTTTTATTATAAATAAAAAAATAAACTCCCCCCACCAAAAACATATTAAAATTCCCAGTTGCTTAATGATGTGTTACAACAATTAGTACACATGCAAGCTTTAGTTCTGATTTTTTTTTCCTTCAGGAGTGAAGGGCTGGGGACAAGGAAAAGGAAAATGAGAAGAAGGTGAATACCTTGGTCCTTGGACCTTCTGATGGACTGAAATGCAGGGAAGCTTGGCTGTCTGCCTGGATCCAGAAAGTGTAATTATTTGTCTCTGGGGCCACAAAGAACCCACTGAGCCGTGCTCTGTAAAGCAGAAGAATGGAGTCAAGCACGAGCAACCAAGGCCTGAATCACGGACCCAGCGAATGGCTGTCCTTGTATTTTGTTTTTCTTTATGGTAATGGAAAAGAAACACTTGACTCTTGTGCCATGTGATTGGCCAGAGTACTCTGGAAACAGCTATTCCTGTGGCTGGTCTCGATCTCTCAACCCACCTCTTCACGCAGGCCACTGCTGCCCCTGCAGTCACGTCACTTTCAGGAAAGTTGTAGCCGAAGCATAGGGCTGTCTGGAGGCTTAGCTGAGAACACTGACCTCACACAGCCAGTGCAGGGCCAGCCCATGATAGGAATTCAGCCAATAGTAAAAATTATGCTTAGTATTAGACATAAAGAGGGATCACTGCTCACAATTTGCTCTGACTTGATCTATAACCCTTGTTCATTGTCTCCTTTCCAACACATTAGTATAAGATATGTTAGATCACACACATACCGCAACACCTGCAGAGAGTATTTTTTCCAGTGAAAAGTATTATGGTCCATAGAGAAAAATCAATTTAATGTGTCAACAATTTGAAATTAAAATACATAACTGGCAAATTTGAAGAAGATTGCAGGCAATTTTGTGAAACATTTTTAAAATAAGGCCAATATTTTTAAATGTTTAATATAAATTCTAGTGACCAAGTATTGGAGATAGCCATAACTAAGAAAATGATTAAACTACCACAATAAATACCAAGAATGCTTTGGATATGGACTCCCACTCTTCCTACAACATACCTGAAAGGTTGCCCTTCCTTTGACCAAAATCCAAATGGAGAACTGGCATTAGGGACAATCTGCCACCTGTACCCAGGGGTGGCTTCAGTCAGGTCCAAGCCCTCGGCAGCATCTCCAACTTCAAAAAGAAGCCCTCGATTGCCTGTAAGACATGTATCCCTCATAAATATCAAAGGGCAATCCTCCCCAAATTAGAGAACTACTTTATTTCAGGTAACACAGTAAAGGTGATTCAGGTTCTATCTAGAAAGGTGAGTCAACTGAGATTCAGATGGAGAAGTCATGTGAGAGTTTCTATAGATGATACAAATGATCTGGAAAGCAGAAAATACTGCTTGGTGTAGGGTTTGGCCTCTCGGAAAGAGAGACTTGATAAGAAACAATAAGAGGAAATATTTTCAGAGGACCAGGGAACAGCAGGGAGCCCTTTTTAATGGGAATGTCTAGAAAAGAGAACCAAGTCCTGGAGAAAATGTGAAACAGCAAATAAATGCTGTGGTTGAGTACAGAGGATAATGTGATCGTGTACTTGTGACTTGTTCAGGAGTGGACTTCAGTATCTTTTAAGGTCCAGTTTAGCCTCAGAGTTCTATTCATGAAACCCCGCCCACCCCCAACCTTTTCCAGAAAGTTGGCAATCCTTATATTTTTCACATGTCATGGCCTGAATTTGTGGATCTGCACATAGAACAAATTTCATGACATGTAGCTATTATATGACATTTTCAGTGATGTTGTACTTATTAATTTGTGTTTTATATTAAGCCAGCCCTGACACCAAAGGCACACGTGCAATCAATATTGGATAGAAACTTGGATTGAGGGTAAAAGCTCTGGAATCATACATTTGTGGGTTCCGATTCCAGCTCTGCTACGTACCTGATATGTAGCTTTGAGCAAACACCTTCATTTTCTCACGCACAGGGCCAATAATAAATAGAAACAATGCGCTAAAGACTAATGGAGCTTGAACTATAAGTCAATGATATCTCAGTAAAGCTGGGGGGAAAATTTAAGTCAATTTGACAATTCTGGCAAAAAAACACAAAAACCTAAGGGAGCTTGAAATATATATACAAAGATACCAAAATATAGTAACTACTCACTAAAGGATAGCTAGGGTAATTATTATTATTTTAAACTACTACTATTATTCCTCATTAATCCTTAAAAGGGTAAATAGATAATGAGTAAGCAGAAAAATAAGAGCATATTTTACTATGCTTGAGGTTTCTCAACCCCAGCATTACTGACATTTTGGGCTGGATAATTGTCATGAAGGCTGTCCTGTGCACTAAAGGATGTTTATTGGCACCTCTGGACTCTAGTCACCACAGGCCAGTAGCACCACCACCACCACCATCCCAGTTGTAACCACCAGACATTGCCAAACGTCCCCCGGGGACCATTGAGAACTGACTTACATAATAATTTGCCCTACTTCCATGGAAGAAACTTCAAAAGGTCTTCATAAAGGCACAGTTAACTCTCAAAAACAGCTGCACTCAGGAAATTACCCGACCATTCCAAGTAGCTAAAGCAGCAGCTGCTCAAAGAGGGGACAGCTCGCTATTTCCTGACACAGGAAACGCATTCAATCCATCCTTGCTTCAGCAGTTTTTCTTTCATTGGACAGGAGCTTTCTCTGAGTAAAAATTGCAGGTCTGGGACCTGGAAAATGCCCAAGCCAAAGCTTTGCATGCATTTTCACACCTGAGTGTTCTTTCTTTAGAGAGGTTCCTCCACCCCGCTGAGTTACTTTCCTTGTAAGTGCAGAGCTTCTGTTGTTGAGCAAACTGGCTGCAGTTTAAACATGAATCAGTCCTATGGGGCAGGTAAGGAATGCAGGCATGCAGCCTGTGATTACGGGTGGCATGACAGCCAACAACACTCAGTCCCTAGCTACACCTGGGCCTCCATCCTAATAATGCTTAGCAGAAAAGTGCTCCAGTGGTGTTCTTTACACTTGCAGCCATGATATGGGAGCTTTAAACAGAGAAGGACTGATGGAACCTGCTACCTTGACTTCTCCATTTCTGCCCACTGAGCCATAAACTGGTGGCAATGTCACAATACATCTCTACTTTTCAAAGTAGCACACAGGTGCCTCAGGGAAGAAGAAATGACGTTTAAATGCATCCCACTGTGTCCCACTTTCAGGCCTTGTCTGCTGTCCTTACGAGCACAGAAGAGTATATTCTACTGCTCCAGTCTCCTTAGACAACGGGCCTTCAGCTGACCCAGAGTGTGGAAGGAGGCAGCATAGGGGTTCCCGCCAGGAGCTATAACAATGGCTTGATTGCAGTTATGCTTCCTCGATCATGGTCCCCAATGAACCCCATTAGCCGTCTGTCTGGCTGAGGCTAGGAGTACAGAATGTCGCCAAGCATATGAATAAAGCTAAAAGCTGCTGAGAAATAAGAGCCCTGACAGTGGTATCATGGACCCAGAACTCACTGAGCAAGCTAACCAGTCAAATGCTGAGACAGAATACAAACACTGTCATTTCCACTTCCTCACCCCTCATGGTTAAAACTTAGCCAGAGGCATGTGCACAGCCCTGGTGACTTCCTTACCTGCCTGAGGAGCAGTGAGCCTTGCACCTTCTCCTGGAGCCCTAGAGGTGCACTCAATCTTCCTGGGAGACACGTGTCTAACATCACATGGAACGCCTGAGGAGAATTTTTAAGTTAGATTAGAGATAGAGATAAAGATAGATATGTGTATGTAGATTGGATGACAAGACCACAGACCCACTCTGAAGCAGACAGGCTTCTATTCTAAGGCAAAGGGCTGGATATGAACAGCACAGCAAGAGTGGTCATCTCAACTGAAGGAGGCCAGGCAAGGGAGAGTGCAGAGCAGTAGAGCATAGGTCATCTTAAAATTAAAAAAAGGAAGCAATGCAATGCATTAGCATTCACTGAGGATGTACTAGACCACTCAGCTGAGCTTGGGAGGGTACATGTGACATGCATGTGCCAGGACATTTTTCTGTATCTTTGGTGTCACCAGATAGAGGAGTACCCCATCAGGCAGAAGAAAAGGTTCTAGAGAGTTTCCTCTAAAGGGTTTGCCATGGGGGCATTCCAGGAAAGCATGCACGGCCATTGCCAGCTCACTCTCACTTGTCCTTACAAAAAGTGCTAAGGAAGGAGGGGAGTGGCTGCCTTCTAGTAGAAGTTTATCTTTGTGAAGAAGCAGCTGTGCTTCTCCCCTCTCCACACCTAAGATGAGGACACCCAAGGGAACTGCCCATGAATTGTGAGCATGTCTGCCGTTCATCCTACTCCTGTTATATGTTTGCAGAGCTGCAGGACTGCAACCCTACCTGGTCTCAAACAAACACAGGTAAAATACCCTAGAGCAGCATGGTGCAAGGAGCCAGAAAAGACCAAGGTTCTTGTCCAAACCCTCTCTACGTCATAAGAGACACATCATCTCCCACAGCATTTAAAACTGGGAACTATTTTCAGTCATTTCAACTTAATTACCTGCAATGGTAACCTGGGCAGGAACGTCAAAGAAGTCTCCTGTAATTGTGACGTCTGTTCTTCCCCCAAGACTCCCAGTTTCTGGAAACACAGACAGTATTTCTGCAAGAGAAAAAAAAAAAAAGAATGCAAGCATCTGACTGTAGACCAGGATGTGACCCAGTTAATAAATAATATAAGAATGGATACTATCAAGTTATTTCTTACCTTAACTTTCTAAGACTAGCAACAATTGGAATTTTTGTAGTAATAGTAATTTAAAAATGCATATACTAAGAAAAGGACTCCCATATAAAAATATGTATAAACACCTATATTATACAGGATCAGTATTTGAAAGGAAAGAAAAACGCAGCCACTCAGGCTATCGGGGAAAATCCCTACATACCATGATGCTTTCTTAGGAAACCTGCCTCCTGACCTCAAGGTCTCTGTTTACAAGTCACGGAACAGTAGGCTATACTTTATGGAGGGAGCAACTTTGGATGCACCAAGCAAGGCCTCAGTTTATCCACCTGTGTCTGCAATTTGCTCTGAGCAGAAGAGTGAATTACTGTTTTCAGTGCCCTTACACTCCTCCCATCCTGCAAGCCCCTTCTCCGTGTGCACTCACACTTCATACCCAGTCCTTCTTGTTGTCTCCTGATTGCTTTAAGACTGTGTAGATGCCTGATCAATGCACTATGTACCTGAAGCTGAAGTAGAATGATATTGAATGTCAAGATAACTAAATATATAGGTATACATAGTCACGGGATGTGGAGTACAACATAGGGAAGATAGTCAATGGTATTGTAACAGCTATCTAAGATGTCAGAGGGGTAAGAGCTTGGTGAGTGGGTTATCACTTTAGGAGGCATTTAAATGTCTAACTATTATATTATGTTGCATTGTACACCTGAAACTAATAAAAAAATAAATTTTTTTTTTCAAGATTTTTATTGGGGAATTGGGGGGATGGGAACAGTGCTGGGGGAAGTGGGGGAAGGGGAACAGACAAGTTGCTGTCGTTTTGTTCTTCAATCTAGTTGTGGAGGACGTTGCTTCACTGGCCCAAGTTGCCACCATCACTGCGCTCTTCTCTGGCGAGGCAGATCAGTCGCCGGCCTCTGGACGGCCGCTCACTGCGGCTGCTGGCCGCTCACGTTGGCTGCTGGCTACACACGGCAGCCCATGGCAACCCACTGCCACAGGGGCTGCAGCCTACGCCGTCGCCGGCGACTCATGGCAGCCCAGCTCCAGGCCGAGCTGTTGTTCAGCATCTCAACTGTGGAGGGCAGTGTCTGGCCCTGATATGTGGGATCCGAACCGGGGCCCTCCGGCATCCCAAGCGAGTTCTTAACCATCACGCCACTCGGCCGGCCCAAAAAAATAAATTTTTAAATAACCTTCAGGAATATGTCACATATCCCTAAGAATTTAACTTTTTCCGATCCCTTCCTCTCCTGTGATCAAACTATCACTATCACCATCATCTCCAGTGCATCCTCAAACTTACTCCAAAAGAGACTAATTACACCATGTAAAGAAAATAAAGGCAAGGGTCAAAATTCGGCTTTTGCAGAATTAGGCTATCTAGGGAGTAACTGACATTTGCCCTGTGACCTACAAAATTTATTGTACTTCTGACAAAAGTAGGTTCTGCTGCCTCTGGAATCTGAATCTACCTCACAGACACTTTCTCAGCGGCTTTGTGTTTGTATTCAAGCCTCAAATCGAAGTACTCTTCTTTAGTAGCCAATTTTCTTGAGCTGAATTGAGTTCACAATTTCATGCTAGTTTCCAATTTCCAGCTTTCATTTTTTGGTAGGGAGGTTTACTCATCAGATAGCAACACAATAGCTTAGCATCAGTATCAGAAACTCATCAATTGTTAAATGAATGAATGCTCAGAGGTGAGATGTTAAAGGAGCTGAAAAGATGTGTTTTTCGAGTTTTCAGTGCTCCCTCTTTTTGGTTATTTTTCAAAACATAAAACAAGGATGGCTCCCCCTTTCTTTCATCCAATCTCTCTCCAGAAACTTTGTATAGAAGTCTAGGATCGAGCCTTTTTATTGAAACTAAAGCTGATGCTCATACAAGCAACTTCATTCTCATCCGAAACCAAAAGGTCATCCATAATTGTAGGGACAGCTTCAGGTGTTAATGGTCACAGAGAAATAGCCAGAAGAAAGGAAAGGAGGGTGCAAACTTTAGTGAGGGGTGAGGAAAGGAGTGAGCATTATAGGGTGAAGGGAAATAGTACCTGAGTGTGTCTGGTACAGGAAGAGTTCCTGTTTAGCACTGATCAGCCATGCAGTCTTATGTACCATTGACCTTTAAAAAAGACAAAATTGTGTTTTGGATGAAAACAGCATCTGAAATTGCATATTTTTTCATGGGTTGCCTGAGAGAAAGATCATGGACTAACCTCTAGTGATCTTTAGAACAGTTTGGATGCCAGCTCCCTTTGATGACTAGCGAATGATACCAGTGGGGCAAATTGTATATTCTGATCTAGAAAATTGTTGTATGAGAATAATAATGCCTTCTTCACAGTGTATAAAAAGCATTAAATAGAATGATGAATGTGGAAGGGCCTGGTGTGGAGCTGGCCTATAGTAGATACTCAACAGCTTTATTCCTTCCTCAATTAAAGAGTGAGAGAAAGAATACATACTTTAAATTGTTGTAGTTTTATGTAACCTGTCACCAGCATCACTGAAAGCAATATTAGCTAGACAATGCACTTTTAAGAAAAATACCTGCCAAATTACATAGTGACAGAATATGAGGTAAGTCATACAGAAAGAAATTTATAATTCTAATTTATCTCTCCAAAGCTCTGTGAAATTTGCACCCTTTCCATCTTGAAATTCGTGGAATGGTACAATGTATTTCATTAAACTATGTACTATTTTAAATGGACAGTATTATGAGAATACTTACAATGTAATTCCCAAAATTCTGCACCATCACCACATTAAAATATTCACACTGCCTCAAGATGAGTACGTAGGACACAATTGTATTCACTCAAGTATAAGAAATCAAGTGGTTACACAGGGTTTTATTATTTTATTCTGTACAAGTATGTTTGAAATTGTCCATTATAAAAGATTAAAGAAAGTAAGAAAAAGGAGGGAGAAATAATATAAGATGAAGATACATTTGGTTATTCTCAGTTACTTACTTTCCTTTGTTAAATACTGAGAAGCTAACGTTCTGGGAGCCTGTAACAAAAACGAACAGACATTAATACAGGAATCTGCATGGATCACCTCGGCCGGGCCATTGCTGCCATTAACCCAAGGACTCCAGACATCACCAAGCTAGCACCCAAACCTGTAATGTCCTTAATGGTGCCCAAAACAAACATCTCCCAGACTTGTACCAGAAGCAATGTTGACTTACAACAATAAAAGAAGAAATATTTAGTTCAAGTTGTTACTTGAACCAATATTCACATATATTAATTCTTTTGTTAGATATCTATGAGTCTATTTTAGAAAAAGTGTTCCCTTCTGGTCTTGAAACTGCATAGCATTTTATTTAAGCTGTGGAATAACTTTCAAGTGGAAACATCTTTTCTGGAATTTGATGTGAGGCAGCATAAGACATAACCCTAGTGTTCTGTGGAATTCTAATATTATTTCTTTCACAAGTTAGCTCATATTCAAGTCAGCACTTGTCCATCTGCTTTTTGCTCTTTTTAAATGTACTCCTTCAAATGATCTTTCTTGTACCCCCCAGATTATAAACCCAGATTATAAACTCTGTGAAGCGAACTATACCTCTGTTGTTCAATATTGTAATTTCAGCACCTGCCACACAATGTCTAATGTAATAATACCTCAATAAATATATCTTGAATGAATGTGAAGAAAGGAAGAAAGAAAGAAAGAAAGAAAGAAAGAAAGAAAGAAAGGAAGGAAGGAAGAAAGAAAGAAAGAAAGAAAGAAAGAAAGAAAGAAAGAAAGGTAATAGTGCATAGTGGGTAACAGCCCAGGCTTGGAGTTAGACTGAGGGTGAGAAATCCTGCTCTGCTGGTTACCAGCTTCAATTTTATCACCTGTAAAGTGGAAATATTCCACCAAACTCACAGGCTTATTGTGAGGACTAAATTAGTTTATATGTAAGCTGCTTCATACAGTGTTTTTCAGGGAGTTCTCAATAAACGGTAATTATTATCATCCTCCTGAGAACCAATTCTTGAAATGTTTTTTTTCCAGACACAGAGAAAGAAATGGATGAGATGTTAAAATGATGTCACTTCTCAAACACACCAATATAGTTGCCTTCCACACGGCACTGCAGCGTCCCGAAACCATGGTCTTCCTGAGCAGGGTAGCTAGGAAAAGAACCAAAAACCAGAGGTGAGAATTACCAGAAACTCAGTTCAGAAGTTCTAACTCTTTAGCCAGAAAGTCAAAAATGAAATAAAGTACAAATTAGCCAGAGAAAATTGGTAGATACTGAAAGTGTAATGAGCTCACTGGGCAATGCTTAGGGTAGTGCTAACTAGAGTTATCATCAATACAGTTGCTACTAGTCAAACACATAGTGTGAGAGGCAAAATTTAACTTTTTACTCCTTTTTACTCAAAATTTAAAATTTTACTCCTACCCTACATTCAGTCCTTCCTTTCCAAAATCTGTTTAAAGACAAGGATAGCAAAATCCTTATCAAAAAGAAAAAGAAAAAAATCTGTTATCAAGTATGAACCCAAAAAAGGACAATCCTGAGCCAAACAAACTTAAGACACCAGGAGGAAACCACATTACAGAATTTGGTTCTACCAAAGGCTGTTCCTAAAAGTCTAAAACTATAGAGTGTAATTCTTGTGATGACCTCAAAGGAAGATTAATCCATGTTGTCCAGAGTGAAGTAAAAATCCAACATGATGTTGGTTATCTGAACTATAAGCATGTAGACATACATTTTTTAAATTGTCATTAAAATAAACAAATAAATGTAAAAATTCTAAACACTTTTTTCTTTAGCTAGTCATTATAGTATAGGGGTTAAGAGCATGAACTCTAGAGGCTGGTCGGTCAACCAGAGTTCAAATCCCAGCTCTGCAACTTGTTCTTTATGAGACATTGGGCAAGTTACTTAACTATCTGTGCCTCAGTTTTCTTATCTGCAAAGTGAGACTAATAAGTGTATGTATTCATGAGATTATTGAGTGATTTACATGTAAAGCATTAGAGTAGAGCTTGGCCTATAGTAAGCACTTAGTAGGGATTAACTATTGTTTTCAAGAAAGGTTTCAGAATCCACTTCAGTTTGCATTTTGAATCAGTTACTGTGTCTTTTCCAGTAAGTCTAAAGACAAAGCAGTCAAAGGTTATGGGCAATCTATATTAAAAAATAGGTGTGTTGGGCAGCCGGTTAGCTCAGTTGGTTAGGGCGTAGTGCTCATAACACCAAGGTTGCGGGTTCAACCCCCACATGGGCCACTGAGCTGCACCCTCCACAACTAGATTGAAACGACTACTTGACTTGGAGCTGATGGGTCCTGGAAAACCACACCATTCCCCAATAAAGTTAAAAAAAAAAAACAGGTGTGTGTGTGCGTGTGCGTGTGCGTGTGTGTGTGTGTGTGTGTGTTCTACCCAGGTGGAAGAACCTAAGTGGATATATGTTAGCAAGAAAGACACTCACCAGCTTCCTGTCTGCCTGTTTACAAGAGAGCAAGGAGTGACCCATTTGTCCCCTTGAGCTTCCAAGATCAATGGGCTGGATAAAAAATGGGAACAAAAGACAAGAGACAATAGTGCAATGCTTCCAGCAAACATTCCTGGCAAAACTGAGAGAAAACACTCTTACGAACATTCTCCTCTAGATTTATGGGGCATTACTACAGGCAGATGAAGGCTGTCCCCTGAGGGGATGCTGAATCAAATTCTCAGCCTAAACATAGGGGTGCGTAACACTGTTTCATGGTCCGTGCTTTCACGTTGCAGAGGGAGCATGTCCTCTTTCCCAAAAAACCTTCAGCATCTCCGCACTGCCTATATTGGGTCTACACAAAGCTATAGCAGAGTTCATGCCATCGTTCCCCCTTTCAAAGATGGTATCCCAAACCAAGGTTGAGATGGGACCAAGTAGTGAAAATGGTATATTGCCAATGACACCATCAGGGCTTCTATCCTGCACAGGAAAAATAATTTTCTTTCAGGACAAGCTGACCATTACTTAATGCCAGAAATGCAGATCTTGAGAGGAGTCAAATCCTATTCTCTTCAACTAGGGAAGACTCTAGGAGAGGAAGCAGAGGAGGATGCCCCATCCTGTTCAGGTCTGAAGGAAAAATTAGACACCGTATATACTCAGCTGAGCATATAGTAAGATTATGTTCCTTCTACTTTATAAATTCTCACTGTAATTGCTGAATATGCCGAATAAACACAGCTGCTTAGAGCTTCCCACCAACATCACCACTTTAGTACTTTCCCTCTTATTCTTCTCTCTCCCTAGCATGGAAGATTTATTAATAGTATCACTTTCCGCTTAAAAGAAAATCTCCAATGAAAAATGTAATGTTGACATCCTAATAATTCTCAAAAAACATTAAAAACTCAATGGCTTTCAGTTCTTCCTCCTTAGTTCCTCTGATCACACTAATTAGGATTTTTAAAAGCACAAACATAACAACCAAGCAAGGACGTTAATGGTATTTTGGGTTCACAGATTGTTTTATAAAGAATTTGTTTCATCCTGAGAAACAAAAGGGAGAAGGGTAAGAAGCGAAAAAGAAAATCCACAGATGCAATTACAGTACAATTCACACTGGGCCCAGAGTGACTAGTTGTCAGTAAATAAATGGACAAATTTAATCGTCCAGTCACAATTACATTAACAAAGTTTGCTGAAGCCCAGCTCACCAGGGACCATAAACTGTGAAGAGGAAAATAGCAATTCTGTGCCAATTGCTTACAATTTATTGCTATCAAGGAAGCTGGTCCCAGGAAGCAATACAACATATTTGTAACTAGTCGTGCACAGAAACAAACACACACTTACCTGTCAACGTAGTCAGCATCAAAATCAAAGGTTTCCAATCTTCCAGTGATAATCCAGCCATACACATGTATTAGTTTTCCTGTTTTAGAAGCTATTTTTAGATTTACTTAGCTCAAACTCTAAATGTATAACATAAAACACATTTCTTTTTGTGCATCTACTCAATATGGCCAAGCTGGTCATGACTCAGAATATTCACTTTGGTATAAACTGTACAACAGAAAAGGATCACCAAATGATTCAGTGAACAATAGTATATATTAGAAAGGCTAAAAAATACAAGTATTGCAATCATAGACTTAATCATTTAAGTATAGAGTATGAAAGGAATAAGTCTTCCTCCCAATCTCAGAAACATGAGGATTTCAAGAGGGGGGGGCCAGTTTCCATATACTGCCCTGTTCTACTCTCTTGGCTGTGTGAGGACCATCCACCCAACGTGGGATTGAAGAGCAACATGGCTTGGGGTGCTCCATGCTTCATGACACTTAACTCTGGATGCTTGCTAGTACGAACACCTGTGATATGAGGAGGCTCATATCACATGATCTGGCTGGATATTGAGGAATACTAAAATTTTTTCCATATCTCAGAGTACAAAAGAGAAATATCATGATTGATTCAAATAACCAGGAACCAAGAAAGAAGTATATAAGGTAGCAGAGTTATGGCTTAAAGGATGGGCAATTTCATGTCTCATTCGTTCAATAAATATGCTTATGTTCAAAGATAAGGCAAATTGGGGATCCACATACAGTTGGGGTCTGCCTTGCCCACTGATAAATGGATAACTTCCACTGCTGGGTTTCCTATGCATGGCTTACAGGGATTTCCAATGAGTATTAAGTTTTTTCCCTAACACTCCCCTTCTTTGAGATCATAAGAATGAAGTCATGGGCCAGCCGAGTGGCGTGGTGGTTAAGAGCTGGCTTGGGATGCCAGAGGGCCCCAGTTCGGATCCCACATATGAGGGCCAGTGACACTGCCCTCTACAGCTAAGATGCTGAACAACAGCTCAACCTGGAGCTGGGCCGCCGTGAGTCGCTGGCAACAGCTTAGGCTGCAGCCCCTGTGGCAGTGGGTTGCCATAGGCTACCGTGTGTAGCCAGCAGCCAGCGTGAGCAGCCCATCCAGAAGCTGACAACTGATCTGCCTCGCCTGGGAAGAGCACAATGATAATACCAATATGGGCCAGTGAAACAATGTCCTCCACAACTAGACTGAAGAACAAAAGGACAGCAACTTGTCTGTTTCCATCCCCCAATTCCCCAATAAATGTTCCCATCCCCCAATTCCCCAATAAAAATCGTAAAAAAAAAAAAAAAAAAGAATGAAGTCACAAGCATCAACATTCTCCTTTCAGCAAGGTATCTGCTCAGTACTACCTCCACCCCCTCTGCTTATAGGAGTTGGGAAAAAAACCTGGTCACCCCTTCTCAGAAAGAGTTTGGCGGCCCCTACCAGATGATCCATGGGCTGGACTTCTTCCATAGCTGAAAAACACCTAAACTCAGGAACTGCCTAAGGCAAGGTTTTAAGCAAACACACCACAGCAAGGTGATGATGTTAAAGTTGACCATACAACCCCACAACCTTCCAAGTAATCACAGAATACATTACACATAATTGTCTTCCAAATAATTACAGAATTTAACCATCTGTGCTGTCATCTTTCAGCATCACAAACAATGTTTACAGATGAGAGAGTTGTTGGTTAATAATGCACAAGTGGGGGGGAAAGGGGCACCTATGGGGTTCGTGAGGCACTGAATTCAGAGGACTTTGAGTCTCTTCATGGCAACACATAAGGCTGTGAAAGAACATTGCTGAGAAATTGTTCCCTTCACACTGTACTTGTGTTTTATTAACAGGAAGTGCTTCTTATCTGCAGTCATTGGATGACTGGCATTAAAATAATGAAAACTTTCCAGAATGTTTTACAGCCACTTTACAAGTGAATGGATAGAGATGGAACCTAGTGATTTAGACAAAGTCCATAGAATTAGCAAAAGCCTGTTGTCTGAAGGTCTCTGCTACTGCGAACAATGGGCATAATAATTCTCCTTTATTTGGGGAGAATAAAGAATTGAGGGCTAAATTATCGATTTCCTGACTTGGGTGGGCATGATTTCTAGCTTTGACAAGCACAATTTTAAGAACTATTAACAGGTTATAGAAATTAGGAATTCCTGAGAGTTTTTGCTTTGTTTCTAAAAAAAGGGGGGAGGAGGGAGACAATCCCCAACAGAAGCTGACAGATGGGTAGGCCGGACTGCAGTGCTGGAGGATTCTGCATCACAGTCAAGAACTGCTAACCACATACAGAAATTCGACTACCCATAAAACGTCATCTCTCCTGTCCCCACCACCTCCCTCATCTCTGGATGCTACTCTGGGTGTGCTTCCCAAATGAAATGAGAGTAATCGTCTGGAAAGTGATTTTAAATATGCAGCCCTGGAGATCCTGCCTGGAGGGACCACTCCAACCAGGCCAGTCATCAATTGTTCCCCAAAAGGTGGAGGAGACAGTGGGCGGAACTCAAACTCAGTGGGAGAAATGGACTTGACAGATCTGGTGCCAGCTGATATCCCATTTCACACGTCCAAGGGCCGGCTACTTCTTCATCCCTCACCCTAACAATACTTGTGCCATCTAAACAGGAGCTTTCTAACACGGGAGCAGCAGGGACCCAAATGTCTGCATGTGATTTTCACAGATCACATCTCTTTATAGTAAAACATTATCGGGTCTTGATTATTCAGACAAATGGAAAGAAACAGATCTGTGAGTAACCTGCACTAATAAGATAAAACCAAATTTATATTCTTTAGGGTATAATTTAAATACACGCATACGTAATCTGTGACTATATACATGCATACATGCAAAGGTACAAACACTTTTTAGTAACTCAGATATTCATTTTGACTTTCTTGAGCAGCCAAGCAATTCAAAACAACTAGGTCAAGTTCATACATTGAGACACAACCATATATAAAAATTTAGCAGCTTGTATTCTCATACTCATATCATCTGGAAACCCTAAACAAATGAAAAGCCTGAACTAGATGTAGGGCTTTGCCAAGAATTAGACAGCAAATTACATCTAATCCTAGCTGTGTATACAACTTAGTTTTAAGGTGGGCTTAGCAGTTCCTGAATCTCTTTGTCGCAATCACTTCTTTTCTGTAAGTTCCCCAGCTTTCTTTTCTCTTCTATCTTGGCCTTTGCATTATGTGTGTTAACTCATAAACAAACCCCCAGGATAAGGATTAGGGTTAATGGTCTTCATGTGGTGTCCAACACTGCTCAACACAGGACAAAATGTTGGACATATGGGCCCACTCTGGATTCTGACTGTCTAGGTTCAAATCTCAGCTGTATACTTATTAGCAGTATGACTTTAGGCAAATTACTGAACCTTTTGGTATCTCATTTCCTCATTTGCAAAATGTGAATAATAGTAGTTCCTCTATCATCAGGTTCTTGTGAGGATATGGTAACATAATATGTACCAAAAGCTTAGAACAGAGCCCAGCTCACAGGAAGTTTCAATAAAGCTTTGCTATTCTGTCAGTGATTATAAAGTTACAAGCAATGATGATTTCTATTTCCTCCATTCCCATGCTGCACCTGGTTTGATTTTGCTGGCCTCTTTTTCTTTTCATGTTTGGGTTCCTTTTGTTATCAGTGAAGTAACAGAGCAGAAGTGCCCAGAGGTGAAACCAAACCGGGTTAAAAATAAACCAGAGGTTGACACTTATTTTCAAAACAGCATCAGAGAAGAAGCTAAACTTTCCCATTTATGGAGTCCACCCACCTTAAGTAGAAGAGTTCACAATAAGCTTTGGCATAGGGATTCATAAATATTCCTATTTTAATAGGAGATTTCTTACCTGGAACTCCACTTGGTGGGTTAACTTGGTAAACAATGGGTGTCTGTGCCCTGGAAAACTGTTTTGAAAATGTTATCACAAGTGAGCATTACATTAGAATATCACAACCACAAACAAAAGGACAAGTCACTTCTCACAAAGCATTGAGCTAAGGCAGTAAATGATTACATTTCCTCAAATCATCTTACATCTATTTCTTTTCATCTTCATAATATTTCTGTAATGCAGAGACAACCAATATTATTATAGCTCTTACATAGATGAGGAAAAAGAATTTGATGAAGGTCATATAGCGCTCTATCTTGTACCATATTGTCCAAACCTTGGCGAGCCTGTTTCTATCTGCCCACGTGCCAGACCCAGAAACACGTTTTACCAGGAGGAAAGGTAGGCAGGCCACGCTTTAAAATATCAACCTTTCAATTCCATTATTATAACTTAGTAGCTTGGGATCTTGAAGTTGTTGTTTTTGTTTTGTTTTTTTTCTAGACGATAATTTGCTTATTTAAATTGAAAAGGTTGCAATTTAAATTATTATCAATCCATATGATGGGCAAGGATTAGCAAACTATGAGAAAATTGGAAGATGAATAGGCCCACATAGGTGCTTCTGGGAAAATGGAAGATGCCCGTTGGGAAGGAAATGATACAAATGGTTCAAGGGATGGGAGGCTAGCTACAATACTCTTCAAGAAGGAGGAAAACAGTACTGACAGGCAAGGGGGATCCTGTGAAAGCACTCCTTCCACAGCACTTCCTCTGCTGACCATTCATTCCAAAAGTCAGGAACAACGCCTGACTCAGTCACTGCTGTATCCCTGTGCATAGCCCGGTATGTAGAAGACATCCAAATTTTTGTGAACAAATGGAGTGGGCCCACCTGAGATGACTGATATGCTGCCTGGAAGCAGAGGGAAGAGTGAAGCAATTCCAGGAATTCTATCTTGCCTGTAAGCATCTGGATTCGTCCCAGGTTAACGCATTTCATGGTCATGGTCGGGGTCAGTGTGAAGAAACCGAGAAGCATAAGACTGGACTGCCCAGGCCAAGGTGTGACCCTTGAGCTAAAATCTCTCCCAGGAAGAGCCCTAGTTCCCCTTCTTACCACCCTCACCCCCAACCTCCTCAAGGTATGTAAACCACCTCCATTCCCCACAACCTGCAGTGCTTTTCATTTGCAAAACAAAGACAGCAAATTGATTTGTTTGGTCTGCTTCCAGCACCCCAGGAGCCCACCTTCCCAGGAAGAATATCACCAAAGAATAACCCTGTGGTTAATCAACTAATCAACGTGGTTAATCTCTAATCAGACCCTGAGAAACAAAAGACATTTCCACAAATCTGATGGTGGCTTGGCAAGGACACCTTTAAGTATTGATCCACAGGGCTGTACAGTCTGCCATCAAGGCTAGTTTCCTCCCTTTCTAAAGGTGTTAGAAAATAGTTCACATAAAATATGTAAAGTCAGGAGGTCAAACTAAGAATGCTGTGACCTCATCGGTTGGGACCTGGCTCTGATCTCACCAAAAGATAAAGATTAATACAATTCCACACACACCTGCCAAACACACAGTCCCCACCCTGGCCTCCCAGCCTCCTACTGCACGCAAGGCCTTCAAACCCACTGGGATGCCCTTCATACCATTGTCAATATCATTGGAACTTTATCGTAAGTGCTTCATGAAGTGGACTAGTGGTTATGGCCTCTTCTCACAGACATTAGAAACTGAGGCAGATGAAACAGCCCAGTCCAAACCAAATAAGGAAACATGCCTCTTGATTTCCAACTTGAAATAGAAAACCTACTGCTCAGTTTGTAAGTCTTCCACCAGAAGAGGGGAGGGCAGGGGAATAGAGCGACTCCTGTATCACTCCCTCCCAATTCTCAGAACCTGGTGAGGCAGGCTCAGGGTTCAACCTCAAAAAAGCCTTCACTTGTGATTCTCTCTGAGCTGACACAACATAAAATAGTACATTTCTAAGAGAAACAAGCCCTTGGTCACCCACCAAGCTAGAGACATGACAAAGTGAAAAATTAATGAGCTTCCAAATCAAGTTTCCCTGCATGCTGATCCTTGAGAGGAAGTCAGGTCAGCAGCAGCAAGATGGGGGAGAGGGAACGCAGCGGATTAGAATGATCAAGCCCAGCCACCAGCTGCTTGATAAACCTTCTGTGAGTTGTTCCAACTTGTCAGTGCTTGAAGCAGGCTCTTTGGAGTGGACTGGAGAGATGGAATTAATTTTTAATACTCACGGTTCCCCAGTCCCAGTCCCAAAACAAAGGGACATACTGTGTTTTATTTAGCTTGGAAAGCCTCTCATTAACTGCATCCCCTGGTGATTTTTCATCAACTCACCAAGGTAGTTGAACCACTGAAGAACTTGCTTCCTTTAATGTGCAATTTAAGGAAGTGTTTCTCTTCTTTTCCCTTGCTCTCTTTTCCATCTTTCATAAGTAGGAAAGCTACTATCTGGTGTGAAAGGACATCAAAGCCAAAAGCAGCATGGTGAGTGAGTAAGGAGCCAGCTCGGCCATCTCTCTTCTGTTATATTCACTGAGACAATGTAGAGGAGGGAGTGTGAGTCTTAATAAGAAAGAATGTTTGTGGGGGTTTTTTCCTGTGCCTATGTGCAGAAGGAAAATTCCAGAAAAGAAGATTCTCTTGGAATAAGAAACAAGTTGTTAAATGCGAATTGACCACAAATTCCAAGTTTGAAAAATGAATTGCCTAAATAAAACGTGGGTCATATTAAAGATGAATTTCAAGGATGAAGTCTTGTTCTAAAGGAGCATTAATCAATGACTATATCGTACTTTTATAAACAGAGGTACCCTTTAAGAAGTGCAATCAAGGGCCGGCCGAGTGGCGCGATGGTTAAGAACTGGCTTGGGACGCCAGAGGGCCCCGGTTCAGAGCCCACATATGAGGGCCAGTGACACTGCCCTCCACAGCTAAGATGCTGAACAACAGCTCAACCTGGAGCTGGGCTGCCGTGAGTCACCGGCGATGGCGTAGGCTGCAGCCCCTGTGGCAGGGGTTGCCATGGGCTACCGTGTGTAGCCAGCAGCCAGCGTGAGCGGCCAGCAGCCGCAGTGAGCTGCCGGCCAGAAGCCAGCGACTGATCTGCCTCGCCCGGGAAGAACGCAATGATGGTGCCAACTTGGTCAGTGAAGCAATGTCCTCCTAACTAGACTGAGAACAAAACGACAGCAACTTGTCTGTTCCCCTTCCCCCAATTCCCCAGGACTGTTCCCATCCCCCCAATTCCCCAATAAAAAAAAAGTCTAAAAAAAAAGAAGTGCAATCAAGTCAGAGGAGCACTGCCAAACCTCTGCCCTTTATGAGAAGCCTAAGACCTACCTTTTCAGAGATCATTTTGGTGTAAAACTAATCTGAAACGAACAGGAGACAGAACCAAACATAAAATGAAGTCCCAGTATGCATATTGAGTCTCTAAAATAAGTCAGGCATTAGACCATAAACTCTCTCTCTCTGCTTCCTTTTAGCTCTGAGTTTAAAGGAGAATTCCACCAGCAAATGCCCTTTTGGTCTAGGGTTGGAAAGAGAAGCAGAAATCAACTGTGAGGCAGAAAGGAGGGTGGCAGTTGAGTCTCTGAGTCCCTTCACCATGCTGAGATGATTGCTGCTGTGAAGTGAAATGCTGATGCACACTGGTAATCTTTATGGCTCCTCTGTGGGCTTCCATTTAGGTGAGGGTTCAGTCAGAAATCCTAGTTCTGACATTTACGACCTGGGCAAATTGTTTATGACACAGGCAAGTTATTTAATCTCCCTGAGCCTCAGGATGCTCATCTATAAAACAGGGTAATAAATAGATACCCCTTAAAATTGTTATGAGCATTAAATTAATGTGCATAAAGCACAGAGCCTGACATATAAGTGCTCAATACTTACCTTTCATTAGTAGAGTCTCAGAAACCCCATAACTATCATCTATCTTTCCTCTAATCCAGGCAAAGCAGACTCCTGATTTATAACTTGCTTGTTGGTAACACAGGTATACCTGCAGACCAGGCAAACACACATTCCTCCATCCTTAGAACCTACCTTGAAAAGACAGCTGTCTCGTGGTCCTGGAATTGGGCTGCCTACCACCTGTCCCCCAGAATGCATTTCCAGGTAGTACAGACCTTCATATGCGTCAGACAGCAAAGGCCTGAGGGTAGAAGGTAGAAATCTTAGTGAATAAAAAACTGTGATTTGCCCCCCAAAGGAAAGGTAGCAGCCCCACTTGACCACTTCAAAGTTCCACCCTGCACCTGTGAAGCAGAACTAGTCAAGGATTCCTATATTTCACTTTTTACCTCCCAGATCTATTTGTCCACTAGACTTTAAAGATTGGATACTTCAGCTAAAGAAGTTAAGATTTTTTTATTGAAAACCTCTAGAATAAACAAAAAACACACAAGTTCTGTCTTACTTCTCAGAAGCATAGGTTTACAGCACTTTAAGAGTTGGAAAGGATGTTGGTAGATACTCTAATCTTAGTTTCTATTTTCAAAAATGACAATTTCAGATCAATTAAGAGAATTGTGTGTGTGAACACCACAGGTTAAGGACAAAGTAGGGCTTGAATCATAGGCTGTTTCTGATAAAAGGCATTGATTTTACTTGTTGAAAAAAAAATCTTGACTTTATAATCATCCGAGCAGCTCATAAACACTTCATATAATCATCAAGAGAATCCTAGACCCTCTCTTTTCTTCTCATGAATATCACAGTGATTTCTTTGCCTTTTCGAGGCTGCCTTCATGTTGATTTTTGTAAGAGGAGGAATATAATGAATAAGGAGCTGGAGTTAAGAAGTGACTTCCCTCCAAACCTTTTCACCAAATCTTTAGTCTGACCTTAAATATTTAAACCTGCACTGTCCAATGTCTTTATCACTAGCCATACATGGTTACTGAACACTTGAAATGTGGCTAGTCCCAACTAAGACGTGCTGTAAGTGTAAAATACACACTGGATTTTGAAGACTTAGTTCAAAAAGGATATAGAGTATCTCATTCATAATTTATACATTAACTATATATCAAATGACAACATTTTGGATGTTGAGTTAAATACATTATTAAAATTAGTTTCCCTTGTTTCTTTTGACTTTTTAATGTCTACCAGAAAATTTTAAATTTTAAAATTTAGTAGTGTATCACATTACTGTTGATTGGGCAGTGCTGACATAGATGCTACAATGCCTGTTTTGGTGAAAGCAGATATATCTTTCTACGATAATGAATGACAGTATTTCATTGGTGATACATTTTTTCACATTGGAATATTAATTGAACTTGATATTCATCATCCAATGAATGAGTACATTTAAGAGGGTAGTATTTCTTCTCTAAAAAGATGATTATAAAATCAATGGTGCATCTTAAAATCATTAGTATCATGGAATTGAAGAGAGAGAACTTGTAAATCTTCAGAGCTTTGACTTATTTCATAGCAAGTTCTTGCAGGAACTCTATGCCCAAATATACCATAAAACCTGAGGAAAGCATAAAACTCAGTTTTAAAACCAACAGCAGTGCTATAAGGAAGCTCAGTTCAACAGACATGTATAGAGCACCTTCAACTTGCAGGGTATTGTGCTAAGCACAATAAGGACTACAAGGGTGGAGTTAAACACCTCCCCCATTCTCAAATCACTTAATTCTATAAGGATGAATGTGACAAGTGGGAAACTGACATAAGTGTCATGAGAAATAGGTCTGAAGAAACAGGGCCATTAAGGTTACACATGCTATGCCTTTGTTAAATTACAAAAAGCTCTCTCCCTAAGGAAGATGAATTGCACACACACACACACACACACACACACACACACACACACACACACACACACTTCTTCAAAGTTGTTGCAAGTACAGTCTGGATTTCAGCCCCAACTTGTCCCTCTTTCAAAGAAGGGAAAGATTATACTCAGTTGGATGTTCAGAGAAGAGGTGGCATTTGCAGTATGGTTGGTTAGGATTTCAATAGGCAGAGATGGAAGAGGGGAGCTTTCCTGAAAGGGGCAAGAAAAATGAAAGGAAGTGACAATGTTTTTTCTCTTAACCAATGGTCTACTTTTATATGGCATCTCTAAGACACAAGTAGAGAAAGAATGAACTGGTGTAAACTTCATACGCCAACAAAAACTTGATCAGTACAACAGATTACCTGCAATGTCGTACAAATCATATCAAACTCAGCAAACACACCTAGGACTAAAGCAAATTTCCATTCTAACTGGTTTTGGGTTTATGCACAATCATTACAATTATGCCTATTCCAAATGATGGGTTCTTTAGATGGCAAAGTGGTACCACTTATTGAAATCTTAATTGCTGTAGAGCTCCTTGGGAAAAAAAAAAAACAAAAAAAAACCTGGAAATACATTCTAGCCCCTCCTTATAAATATCTCAAAATTCTTAAAACTCTTCATTATATTCTCACCCTCCCTTAAACCTTAGGACCCTGATAGGGACATATAAGAAGCATATTCACGTGGAACATTTTTAAAAACTATAGCTGATAATTGCAGCCACAGCAGGAGTTGCTCTAATTTGCCCCCCAAAACTGACGCAAGCAAAGCGCTTGCCCTGTCAGATCTTCTCATGCCCAAACAGGTATACCTGGTCTTGCACATCACCACCGGCAAACCCAAGAAGACAGGGGAGACGTCACAGGAGATGCTCGGCAGGACAGGCACAGCCATGTTCACCAGATGTATCTCCAGCTGAGAGCCATTAGCTGGATAAAGGAGACCGGACTCCAAACCTAAACCCAAGGAAAAAGGGACTCTCAAACTCAACCGAGTTGTAACCCACACAATAGAATATAAAACCACGGCCACACGGGGGCAGTGTGAGACATTGAGTTTGCCTAAGAATTAAATTTATACTCATTTATTTCCAAAGGAGACTGCTACATAAAAGAGTGTTCTCATTTATGAGTTTATAAAAACATTTTCTCTTCAGGTCCATCCACTTAAATCCAGGAAAGAGTATTTCAATCCCCAAAGTTACTCTTTACCATGGTGGAGATGGATACACTAAGCCATGGTTTGGAAGTTCCCATGTACTGAATTATCTACAAGGAAGATAACCAAGATTCTGGGGGTGGGGGAACACATTGCCAAGTACTATGGTAAGCACCTCTATATCTCACTTAGGGTTCCTGGAGTCCCATCCCACAGCCTGGGATAAGGAAGTGGACACAGCATATAATGGCATGATATGCTCTGCTTCTGTAACATTAGCAAGTGAGCATCTGGAAACACAGAAGTTGGTCAGTTGGCCCATCTCCCTTCAGGTCCTCGTTTACACCCATCCTCAGACAAGGAAGAAAACTGAAGACTCATATTCTTTAGGATTCTTTAGATCAATAAATAAGAAACTTGTATTTGGTAAGACACAAACCTACCATCAAAAACGACTGTGATCCATGTTCCCCCTGCAAGGCTACCTTCTTCAGGTTCAATGTGGAAACTCAAGCAAGACACTGTAAATAAGTGAGAAAAACTGGTTTTGTAGGTCAGGTTCCATCCACCAGCTTCCCCAATGTTAGGAAGCAAAATTTTAGCATTCATCAGAATCACCAGGAGGTCACTGGGCCCCATCCCCAGGTTTTCTGATTCAGTGTGTCTGGGGAAGGGCCCAAGAATTTACGTTTCTGACCAAGTGCTGCTGGTGCTACTTGTCTGGGAACCACACCTTCACAACTCCCATTTTTTCTAAGAAAAGCTCTGACTGATTCTCTTATCTTAGACATCCAAAAACCCAGAGTTCACCAGGATAATTCTGAATTTCTACTTTCTCTGAAAAGGGCCTCAAGGGCACATTTGGTTCCTATTTGAACCCATGATATCTCTTCTCTCTCTCTCACTCTTTAATAAGGTAGTCAGACTTAATTGTAAAGTCACCACTATGTCTTACAGTTCCAGTTCCCAGATAAAAGGAGAAACTTCTAGAAACTGTCCCTATTTCAATCCTCCTGCTCAGGATACTATCCTCTAGTTTTGAATACATGATCAGAATAACTTTCTAAATACTGAGTTGTCAGAAAAGTCATGACGCATTTTTGCAACGAAAAACATAGAAAAAATATGTCATGACTTTTCCGAAAACCCAATAGATACAAAATTCTCTAGATTGTTTCCTTGCCTGCTCAGAGAGGGACTGAAGTATGAATCAGTGCTGGAATTCCCTTTAAAAAATAAAATAAAAACCACTATAAACTTTACATGCTAAGCTAGATTGGAGTCTCCCATAAAGACCATTGGCTGCACATATTCTGAATTAATCTCTCATCTTTGAAGATGCTCCCGGACATGCTTTGGCCAAGGTAAAGCCAATTCAAAGGAACCAATAAAATCAGTCAGCAACTCAGTGAGTTCATAGACAGGAAACATGTTATCTACAGAACACTTTTCAGTTTCTGCCAGAAAAGTTAAAGTATAATCCAGGCCACCCTAACTCTGGCTAGCCTAGGGCTTCCATGTACAGTGGCATAGCTGGTACACTGCACAGCCAAGGGTGGTGGGGAATCATTTATATCAAAATAATCATTCATTGCAGCCCCAAACCAACCCATGCTTACCATTCAAAAGATATATTAAATACTTCTACCTGAAGAAGACCGAAAACAAGTGCCATAAAAAGATACAGAGGATAATCAAATTCATAGAGAAAGTTAGAGGCATAATTTGAGAAAAGGAGATTTTAATACAAGTGGTCATTAATTGTTAGACAAGACAAGTTACTCCCTTTGAAAAGATAAAGCAATAAAATGTAAAAAGAATTACAACAAATGGCCCAGAAAGGAATTATAAAAGGAAGGTTATAAGTTATTATTAAAAGCTCTATAAACTTTAAAAGCAACCCTCACTGGTCATCAAAAATTGAAGTATATTTTCATAACTTTAATATATAACCTCAACTACGAAGCAGGAAAAAAATAATTATTAGGCAGAGAAATTTTAAACCCAGAGCACATACTTCAACACTGCCCCCCAAAATAATATTTTAAGTGTCAATAAACTAGTTCTCAAGATAACCTGTTGTATTCTATCTATAATTCCTTCAAAACACATCCTACTCACCTGCTAAAAGTAGTATCTCAATACTTTTCAGAGAGATCAGCCAAATAATCATCTCGTCCAATTAAGTCAATCGTCTCAAAATTGCTCAGACATTAGAAGCATTTTCAATCTTTATTGGAGCAGCATAGCTTTTGTGCTTTATAAAAAAATAAAATGAAAAATTACTATCACTTTTTGCTTAAATACTATTACTGTGCTGTGTGAAAACTTGGGAAATGAAGGAGTTCATATCAATATGGCCCTAGAGTCTTCAAATGGACCCACCATTTTCCCAAACTCTGGAAAAAAGGGTAATCTAAGAATCTTATATAAAATCATTACTATTCCACATACTCCCCTTGTCCCACCCACTTATTTTTTGCATGTTTAGGCTGGGCAAATAATAATAACTTTTTTCATTAGCTCCTTATTGAACTGAACAAAAGTATAATTTAAAAAAATAAATAAATGAATTCTAATTGTAATAACTCTGTATGATGTCATATGGGTACTAGACTAGTCAGGGGGATCACTCCATAAATTATATAAATGTCTAACCATTATTCTGTACACCTGAAATTAATATAAAATAATATTAAATGTCAACTGTAATTGAAAAAATAAATAAATCCTAGATATCTATTATACCTAAATATAAAATAAGTAAATACTATACACCAAAAGTTAATGGTGGTTTGAGGAGAGGGGAGTGGAGTCATGGGTGTTTTTTGGTGGTTTTTTTGGGGGGTGGGGTTGTTTTTTCTTGAGGAGTCTCAGTCCTCCAGGAACCAATCAACACAAAAAAACTAAACAGCTTAACAAAGTAAATATTAAGTATGGTAATATGTTGAAAAATATGGTACTTACAGGAAATTGTCTTATTCTCAGAGCAGAAGAGAAAGGGAAGAAAGAAACAGAGGAAGAAGAAGCTAGAGCGCCCACGCTGGACCCCAGGACCCCAGGGTCCCTGTACCCCATTCCACAAGGCCCAGTCTGCCAGACCTCTCTTCCTTACACACTGCCTTCAATGTTCCGTTCTTCTGCTTTTCATTCAACACAAAACTTTCATTGTTTGTAAAATGATGATAAAAATACTTCTTAGGATTGGTATCCAGATTAACTGAGGTGCTATATACAAAGAAATTAACACAGAGCACGGCACAAAGGAGACACCCCAAAAGTGTTAGCTTTCCTTTCACAGGCTCTGTACTTCCAACGGGAAGTCCTCTCTCTACCTTTGCAATCTTGCCACCACCTGGCCCTCCCCCCCACCTTTCCAACTTTTCCTTGCATTGCCCTCCAATGTGAACCTTACACTGCAGCCAAGCTGTTCTCTCCATCATCTCTCGGACAAGCCCACGTCAGCCTTTGCCTCGGCGCCTGCTGTCCCCTTCCTGGATTCCCCAAACTCTCCTGCGGCCTAATGAAATGTCGGACCTCCTTCATGGTCCAGCTCAGGAGCCTCCTCCTCCACGGAACCCATCCCCAGTGTTAGTTCATACACTAAACCCTGAACACTGCAGCCAAGGAGAGATGGAAGAGACAGACCACTCCAGACTGGTAGGAGCACACAGAGCATCAGGGATGACAAGGGCAAGTGGGCCAAGCTTGAACTGTTGTTCGGGTTTTAGGGTTTCCCACAGGCCAAACAACATAGCATCAGTTTGCCCATCTATCTTTTCAGGTGGGGTCCTGGCAGTAAGGAGGTCAAACCACATTTGCTTCCAGGTTACTTCTATTCTATTCTTTACCATCAATTGAATTAGTTGTTTGGCTTTTCAAGGTCCCTCTCTGCCTCAGGCTTTCTCGAAACCCATACCCATTCCCAGGATTTGTCAGTTTCGCCCAGATCAGCAATGGCCTGCCCAACATCATAAATTCCCTGTCCCACGACTGGGCTCAGCAAGGATATCAGCGCCCTATATCAGCTGCTGGGGGCTATCTTGGTTTTCATTCCTACAGTGAATGTGGTTCCATCAGGACCTTTAAAAATAAGGGCATAGGGCCGGCCGAGTGGCGCGATGGTTAAGAACTGGCTTGGGACGCCAGAGGGCCCCGGTTCAGATCCCACATATGAGGGCCAGTGACTCTGTTCCCCTTCCCCCAATTCCCCAGCGCTGTTCCCATCCCCCCAATTCCCCAATAAAAAATCTTTAAAAAAAAAAAAAAAGGGCATAGATGGCCTGTCTCATCCCTTATTCTTTAAGAGTTTGTTGTGCTTCCTCTATAAATTTCCAGGATCCATCGTGCTCAGGGAAATTCCCCTCTTTGAGCCAAGTCTCTGGAGGTTAAAATAATGCAATCTACAAGGGAGTGAGTTCCTTGAACCCCACCCTCTTCCCAACCAGCACCATGGTGGTGGGGGTGAGGGGACCAGAGGGCGAGGTTTGTGGTGGTGTTGCTCTTTTTTTTTTTTTGCCTCCTGCTAGGTCAGCAAAATGCCCTCCCACCTCCCCAGCCCCGGCAACCCCACTCCCTAGGGGGAATTTCATCCATTTCACTGTCAAGCACCACAGCATCCGCCCAATTGTTCTCACTTTTCCAGGGATTCTACCTCTGAGTCTGTCAATCAGGCTTTGTCACAACACTCAGACCTTAATTCAAACCAGCTTGTGTCCTAGCTTTGCAAAACAGCAAGCTAAGTCCTCCAACTTATTATCCTGCTCTCACACCTTGTCTGCTAGCCTCAAAGCTAGCAGAGTAACCGACAACACAGGTCCTTTCCTAACGTCAGTTCTTCCGAATTTCTAGCTCGACTTTCAGCCTCTAGATGGGCATCAGTGGCCTGCCAAACTGCCCACAGTACATTCCAAGGACAGAGGAAGGGTGAGAGCCGCCAATGCCGGCCCCCCATGGGAATTAACCACAGTTAACTGCAGTGACGTCCTCTCTGTGACCTCCCCCTTCACCCAATCATTCCAGTTCTCATCGCCCTTTTCTCCCTGAACCTCTAGCTTATGTGCTGTGCAATGTGGACCAGAAAGTGCAGTGCCTCATGCCTACTCTTCTAGACTGTCCACTCCTCAGAGGGGTCTTCTATTCACACAACCCTCGGTGCAAAAGTTTCACACAGTACTCAGTAAATTCTAATTGGTGAGTGCATATTTAAATAATCTAAGCTTTGGTTCTAAACTAATCTGAAAAAAAAAAAACTTGCATACATGTGGGATGGGCAGAATTCACAGAAGCCTGGCTGAAAAGCCATATAGACCTTAGAGCATGCCCTGATACCTGATCTGGAAAGCCTGCTGAGCTGCTCTCTGGTATCCCCAAGTCGGAGGGCACAAATATAATCCTCTGAAAAATACCGGCTGTAAATTTTCTGAAAGTTAAAACATTTACAGAATTACATACACATACATACTACTAAAGATACATTTAACTTATATTTTTAAGAAAACACTGAGACTAGCAAAAATAGTTAAACTATTTCGGAAAATATAAAAGCCACAATAAATGCTCAGAAAAAGAATATTTGCAAAAAAATTAGAATCATCTTATAGGTATACCCTGATTAAGATAGTCCAATACCATATAAAACCATCTATATTTAATTCAAATCCACAAACATTTATTATATGCCTAATATATGCTGGGCACTACTAGGAGCTGAAAAAACTGAGACAAATAATCTGTGGGCCTGCCCTGAAGTCCCTAGCAGATGGGGTAGGGGTGGACGCCACTTGCATTTATGAAAGGAGTTCTAAGATTTCCAAGTAGATTCGGCAGATGTTCCTTTAAGTTGCAAAATCCCCTAAATTTAACATCTGTTTGGAATAGAATTCATTTTGAAAAACATTCAATTTTCAGAAATATATCTACTGTGTAGAGAAAGGTACCCAGAAATATTTGCTACTTAGTCCCAAAGCACGAGCTCTAACTTGCTTGTTACAACCAACATGATATCCCCAGCTTGGGAGAATCTATTTTCAACCTGGCTGCATGATTTTAACCTTTCATTTCTGAGCTTACTCCCAATCTCAGAACAATGGAAGTAAATATTCACACACTGATTTTCTTAAAGCCTACGCTCAGACCTGCATCTTTTCCTCTAGCATAGAGCGATCAAATCAATAATAAACTTAATTTTTCTTAATGTAATTAATCCACAAATTCTTCCTCAGGATAAACTCAGCCTCTATTTACTTCTTTCAACCAGGAAATTTTTTACCAGAGGAGAGCTGTGTGCATTTAGTCAAATCTTTTCTCTCCTCTTGCCTCTCTGCCTCTGTCTGTTCCCTTTCCACCTCATCCTCTTTTCTTCTCTATTCTCTTAGCCTCCCTTCCTTTGGCACTTTGAGAGAGCTGCAAGGTTACTACTGCAGATGCCCATTTCCTTTGGTTCCTTTGGTTCACCATGACATTGGCAAGAGATGCAATACCTAGAAAACAAAGAACAGAGACGTTTTGGATCAAACCGTACCTTTTTCTGTTTCTTTCTCGTTGCAACTCAAGGAGAAATTATCTTTCCTTTCTAAATGTTTTCTCTCTGCTAAGAAACGGTGGCCATGTTATCTGGTTAGAGCCCAGCCTGCAGCTACCGTGCAGGTAACTCACTCATGTTGGACTGTAACTCACCTAACTTGTTTGTGTCCTGGCCAAATGTGGGCCAAAATAAAAGTTCAGAGCTGACCACAGGGCAAGTTTAATGATTAACAGAAGCTATTTAGGATTTTTCCTCAGAGTCTTTTACTAATGACCAAAACAAGAGTGTCTTACATTTTTCTCCACTTAACTGCATGTGCCCCAGACAAGAATTTTAAGTAAAAGTCCACCCAGTAAGACAAACAGGCATTCAATAATTGAAAGAATTTGCCAGTAAATCAGTGACTGAACACAGGGCCCAGGAAAAAGGACCAGTGGAGAGCTGATTCCCACTCATGAGCAGCCTTTGGTTTTTCATCAAGAGGAATGATGTCAGTGCCCTGTTACGGGCTGCCTTTCTCACCATAGGAGTGTGAGTCTAAAGAAGCAGAGAAAGGAAGTTATTTGTTCAAAGTCTTACTAAAAAAGGACCAACTAGCCCTCTTTGTTGTTTTACTTTCTTCCCTCACTCCTGTCCTTGCTTTCTTGACTAAGAGGAAGTCCTCAATTAGTATTCATTAACTTTTTTTTTTTTTAAGATTTTATTGGGGATTTGGGGGAGGGGAACAGCATTGGGGAATCAGGGAAGGGGAACAGACAAGTTGCTGTTCTTTTGTTCTTCAGTCTAGTTGTGGAGGATGTTGCTTCACTGGCCCATACTGGTATTATGATCATTGTGCTCTTCCTGGTTGAGGCAGTGTTCACCAGCCATTGGACGGTAGCTCATGGCAGCCCAGCTCCAGGTCAAGCTGTTGTTCACCATCTTAGCTGTAGAGGGCACAGTGTCACTGGCCCTCATGTGGGATCCGAACCGGCATCCTGCTGCTCAGAGCTGGTGTCCCAAGCCAACTCCTAACCAACTGAGCCACTCGGCCAGTCCTGTATTCATGAACTTCTAATGGGACCCAGTTATTAGTCTGACACTTCCTTGATAAAGAATCTGAGAGCCAATGGGCTTAAAAAGTCAATACCACCTTCTTACTTGGTCCACGGCTGACTGTTCTGTTTCTGCTCCACCACCCATTCCCATTTACATCACCAGTTTCCTGATCATGTCAGTCCATGCCCAGTGGTTCCTGACCATGAGGAATTCTCATCTCCTTTTCCCACTGTTTCCTTTGGGAGAGGAGACTTTCCTGTCGAATTTGGTAGCCCTGAGTCTCCACCACAAAGGAAGATTAGTAGACCTAGGAAGCATCCCAGCAAGGCCAGATTTAATCTACGGAAATACAGCACAACCTTGATGAGAGTAACGGAACTATCCTCTAGAAGGTAGGGGAGTTTACACCAAATCTGCTATATATCACAGCTTGGCACCCAGTGACAAGCAGAATGATTTTCCTAGTGCTGCAGCCAGTAATAGAGAGAGAGGGGGTACCTAGCCACATTGGACAGGTACGATGTCAATCACTCTGCCACCCTGCCTGCCTACTGATTCTCAATTTCCACTCTAGATTCCTCCACCCTGGCACATGGGTAGTGGGGAAAGAAGGGGCAGACCAGGTTGGGGGGAGATAATCAAAGGGGATTTCAAAATTATTGGTCATTTTTTATTTTTGTATAAGAAATTATATTCATGAATCACTTAGATGATTCAAAATTAGATTTTCTAAGAATATAACACAAAACAAAGAAAAAAATCATACACACAGCCAACAGTTTAGTGGTTACCAGAGGGAAAAGGGAGAGGGGCGAGGTAGGAAAGGGTAAAAGGGGGTCAAATATATGTTGATGGAAGGAGATTTGACTTTGGGTGGTGAACATACAATGCAATACTCCTATACAGATGATGTATGATATAGAATTATGCAGGTGAAACCTATATAATTTTATTAACAAATTTCACCCCAATAAATTTAATAAAAATAAAATTAAAATAAAATTTAAAAGGTAAACTAATTATTCTTCAAAAAATAAAAAATTTTCATCCCCTTTCAAGTATATTCAACCTTTAAAAAAAAAAAGTGTTTGTGGAGCCAGACTGCATGAGTTTCAAGCCTGTCTCTATTGCCTGCCTATGCTGTATGTATGACAAAGGGAATTACCTAACATTTTTTTTTCTTTTTCTTTCTTTTTTTTCTGCATAAATCTTTATTTTTCTATTTAAAAATATAGAACACTTCACGAATTTGCATGTCATCCTTACACAGGGATCATGCTAATCTTCTCTGTATTGTTTCAGTTTTAGTATATGTGCTGCCAAAGCAAGCACTTAACTTTTTTGCATTGATTTCTTCACCTATAAAGTAGAGATAGTAATTTTAATGCCTATTTCATAAATAAAAGAAGACAACTACACACACACACACACACACACACACACACACACACACACAGAACGTAACAGTTTCCTCCCTCAAAGCTCTTGCTGCCTGGAAAGAGAGACAGAATCTTGATCATATTAGTTACCTATATTGTAGTCAAGTCTCCTGATGAAAACTTAACTCCTGTTTTATTTCTTGCTACTTCAGGAAGAGGCTTCCAGAAATTAACCTCATCTATCCATGGGTAAATAGCCTATAGTGGATATTTATAATTCTTTTTGGTAGCCTAGCTGTCAACACTTTATCCTAAAAGCGCCCCAATTTTCTTACAGGTAGATTTACCTCTTCACTCTCGACTAGAAGAATCTTGATGATACGTAAGACTTCGGTTTCTGGGCTCTAGGAAATTCCTGGTGGGCAATCAAGCTCTACTGTTAAAGAAATGAAGCAGACTGAGCCATTTCATGCCCTAAGGCCTAAAAGGACTAGTTGTAGAACTCTACAGGAGGAGGCCATGCCGCATGCAAGCCTGGGGAGCCTCAAGTCCTCCCCTCTGTGAGCTCTCCCTTCCACTTCAAGATCCCTAAACATACACACATATCTAAATTTGCCACACAAACACAACCTCCAGAGAAGCCCCCCCTTTTCCTCTAATCATACTCCAAAGTCCCTGTCATACAGAAATTCTAAATAAAGTCTTGAGCTCACTTCTCTGACCCAGTGATAAAGACAAATGCTCCTCAGAACGCAGCCTGAGCATGGTTCCCCCAAAATTGGTAGCCATGTCCACCCTCAGGTATTGTCACTATTTCACAGGAAGCTACTTCTATGAGAGTTTAGGAAATCTTGACACAAAAATTGTTGCTCAGACCTATGAAGCAAACTTGAGGAGACCAAAGGAGAAAGTCATTCTTTGACCCCTTTCTCTCAGATTCCAACACCACTCTAAATTTCTGGGGACTAGCAGTTTTGAGAATTGAAGTGGGGGTGGTATAAGAATGTGCCTCACAGATCTCCAATTATGGGGAAAAATTGACGAAGGGCCTAGCTGCTGTGCTCTAAAAATCACTGCAACATTTGGACCAAGCCATCCTTCGATAGGTTGCTCCCAACCGACACTGAACATGGCAAGGGTAAGACAGGTTCATTCAGGGAGACACAGGACTCTTCTGGTGGTGGCTTTGGCTTGAGGACTCCCTGACAACCTTGCAGAACCTTCTTTAGAGCTACATTGCAGGCTATGATATGTCTCTCTCTCCATCACTCAGGATCGGTCTAACAGCTCTCAAAACCTCTGTAGCTTCATCTCCATTTTCTCTGTTAGGCACATCCCCTAATAAACTCCTTGCACTTTTAATCCTGTCTTGGCATCTGCTTCTCAGAGGACTCAGATTTACACAGTACACTGGAAGAGAACACCATTGGCAAAAACCATGGTCTTTTTATTAGCGGCCCCATGAGCAGCAGCATTGGTGAAAATCCTTTAGATAGCTTTGCAGGCCGTAAATCTTAAAGGAAGCCAAAACAGAAGAGGAAAGGAAAGACAAGCATCATCGAAGAAACTCTATGAAATCAGTGTGCTTGACGTCTTCTATTTGACCCTCCAGATCTACCCTTGTCCACTCCGCTCTATGCCCTGGAAAGGTGACCTGTGTGGACTGTAACAATGGGCTTTCTTGCCCATTGGCTTCTGGTTGGCTTCACAACTGGAGGACACCACCAGCAGCCCAGAGGGAGGTACAGAGGGCCAAGAGGTGAGAAGGGTATTTTTTCCCCAGTGCCATCCCCACTAATCTCAACCTCTGACAAGGGACCCTTTCTATACAGCACACTCTGTTGCTCTCTCACTCTCGTTCTCTCTGCAGGTTCTGGTACCCCTTCCTCTCTTTGCCCCTTCAGGCCCAGGGATAACAGTTCCTATGGCTGTTATCTTGTATGTACTGCCCCATCCCGTTTTGCTTGTTTTAAACCTTGGACATACCACTTAGAAATAGTCCCTTTATTAATTTTTCAGCCTTAATGTGCCATCTGTTTCCTACTGGGACCCTAACTGATATATAAGCTCTAGAGATAGTTAAGCTCCCAAATGGGCAAATGTGGAGTTCCCAGTCATCAAAATTTGGGTGCTACTGTAAATGCGACCTCACGAGTATGCACGGACTGGGAATGCCTGGCAACACTTGGCTTATACATGTCATTTCCAAACTAAATGTTGCATTTCTTAAGGAAAACAATTATCTTTAACACTTGTGCCCCAACACATTTTTCACTGTATCTTACATAAAGCAGGCACAAAATAAAATGGATAGGAATGCCTTGTGAATTCTTTGGGAAAAAACATCTGGAATGGATGAGGGCAACAAAAGCCAAAGTAGGCTTTAAATGGAAATTAAGAATGCTCATTGCAGCTTTTTCCTTTAAAACAAAAAATGCAGCTTCTATAAGTGGAAAATAATATAAATAATAGAAGGCAGAACGGGGGCAAGACAGGCACATCTCTGACAAAAGGTAGATCACGGAGCAGGACACTAACATGGTCCTTTCGGCTAAGTGGGAACTTTCCTTCACTAGGCCAGAGGAGCTCTGGACCAAGCTTTGCCCGCGTTCTCCAGGTACACCTGTTGTGAGATTAGCCATGAAGCTATGGCCCAGCTATACCCCTCATATTTTCTGTGCTGTCAGAATGATCCCCAGGAAATTTCCCTTTCACCAGTCTAGGACTGACCCAACTTGTCCTC